GGTAAGTTCACAATGTTGCTCCGTCGTGCAACAACACTACCCAAAACCCTACAAAACCTCCGGTTATTCTCTCCGGCGGCGACCGCCACTTTATCTCTCGATCCGACCGAATTAACCCAATTAACTTACCTCCCTGGGTTTCCGCAACCCGATCCAAAGCACGCAGAGACGATTCTGGCCGTTCCACGGTCTGATTCCGGCAAGAACATCTCGGTGAAAGAGCGTAAAGCGGGTCGAGTTCCTTCGATTATATTCGAACTGGAAGATGGACAACACGGAGGAAACAAGAGGCTTATCTCAGTTCAGACGAATCAGATCAGGAAGCTTGTGAATCATTTGGGATACTCTTTCTTCCTCTCTAGGCTCTTCGATGTCGAGGTTCGAGCTGAGTTAGGTTCCGATGAAGTTATTGAGAAAGTCCGGGCTTTACCCAGATCGGTAAAGTCCCATTGCATTTTCTCATCTTGAAATTGATGTAATTTCGGGTCTTTCAGATTTACTTTAGATTAAACTATGGATCGTCACTAACCTTAGTCATTGATTTTAGAAATGGTGTGTTTGTTTGGCTTCTAGTTTATGTATTGGCTAAAGAGAAACTCTTTGATATGAAATGATTCAGGTTCATTTGCACTCAGGGACCGATGCTCCACTAAATGTGACATTCATTAGAGCGCCTCCGGGTACTTTGTTGAAGGTCGATATCCCTCTTGTGTTCATAGGAGATGATGTTTCTCCTGGATTGAAGAAAGGTAATTAAAATCTGGATCTTTCTTTGTGAAAATTCTGAATAAGGTGAGGATTCGGAATGTGTGTCCACATGAGGTGTCTGCATAGGAATCACTATTCTTAGCAGTAGTTACCAGAGGGCTGGAGCACTCTTACAACAAGTTAACTTAGAAATTAGAGGATTAACAAAACAAAAAAGAGAGATAAAGAGGTCATAGGTGCACTAGATTGATCAAAGATCTGTTTTTTTTTTTTTTACCTCTGGTTTTAGGGAATAAATAATCGTTGAGTCGTATGTGCTAATAGTGGTAGTAATACTATGAGTTCTTGAGCTCTGAAGTAGTTAGTTAGGTTACACATTAGATATTTGACTTGATTGTGGATTCATTGAGCTTCTAGTCTGTAGAGAGGTTTTGTTACCCTTGGTTTCAGTTACCCGTTCTCGGATCAGACTGAGCTAAAGCTTCAGTGATGACATGTAATCATCAGTTTATTCACTTCATTGGCTAACACCTTGTGTTTGGTGTCTTATGAAACTTTTACGTGAGTGGTGAGATATACATGATGATTTCCGGTTTGAGTGATCTATGTTGGTATACAAGTGACTCCAGTTTTGACACAACACTTGCAAGTGCTTTGCTTAGTTGCTTGTATCTTAGTCTTTCTGAATCGAAAAGGTGTATTCAAACACTGCACCTTTCTAGAATCTTGAAGTTTCATATCTCCATCTGTTTCTACACAATTTTCTACGTCATAGCTTTGATTTTCTTGTATAGTTTCTAGATCATAGCATCCATTTTCTTGTATTGTCAGTTTCTAGTATAATGTATAGATCATTATTTCTTAATCTCTTTGCAGGAGCATCTCTGAATACAATCAAAAGAACGGTAAAGTTCCTATGCCCAGCAGAGATTATCCCACCATATATAGAAGTAGATCTCAGCCAATTGGACGTTGGGCAAAAGCTAGTAATGGGAGACCTCAAGGTTCATCCGGCGTTAAAGCTTATAAAGCCCAAAGACGAACCCGTTGTCAAGATCGCTGGAGGACGTGTCACTGACCAGCAAAAGAAATAAAACCAGTGAGTCATATTAACTCCAATTCCCGGCGCAAACCAAATGTTGCTCATACTTGTTTTCTTCCAAACGTTGACGAAAAATTTATGGATCAATCTTCGTAGAACTCAAATTCCTTTAGGATGGAGGTTGTTTTTGTGTTATTAGTGTTGCTGGAGTAGCTCTTTTAATTCTACAAAATGTTTGTTTTCCATTTGGATGAGTTTATTTACAGACAAACTATCTATAAATAATCGTAGAAAAGCGAACAGAAATTGATCTTTTTAGATTGGGTGGACATGTTGTTTCTTGCATTTCATGTCGAGAAACGTAATCTTTGATGAATTGCTCATCATCTTCATGGAACAATCCGTTTTAAGATAAACAGATTTCTTGAAAATCTTCATTATCTTTACTTTACCACTAACTGCAACACTGCTTCTCATATCCAATCCTTTCCCGTTTAAATCCTCCATTAAACCCGGTACAGATTCTAGTAGCTTTGTTGTTACAATCTCAGCCGTTAGATTCATCTTAACCGTTCGTTTTGCTCGAACTTTCTGTGGAAAAGTTTCATTTCTTCTAACACTTCCCCCAGCCACCACCAATTGACCGTAGTAATTGGTGACCGTAGCGTCTATCATTCTAAACGAAGCCCAATTGGGATTACGTATAGAGATCATCACTGAGACCGTCGCGTTTCGGTTCGAGTTGACTTGACCGTTAACAAATTCCAACGGTTGGACGAAGGATATGGAATCGACGGTGAGTTTTGGGTTACGGAGATGGCAAACCGTGAGGGAAAGAACGATGAAGGTGACTGCGATAAGCAGAGCTAGAGCTGCGATAAAACCGCAACATAAGACGAGTTTGGTCCGTGAGTGCACATGTTTGGTTTGGTCGTGGTGGTGGTAATGATCTTCGTTGGGTTGGTCGCTTAAAGTAGCGAGAGAAAGCGCAGCGAAAGGCTTAGCTTGATCCTCGTTACACTTAGCCATTTCTTGTATATTTAACTAAATTTTGGAGGTTTAAGATTAACAATATAGTTCATTTTATATTTGTATATGTTTATATAGTATTACATTTCATTTTGTAATGGAGAAGAAAGTTCCCGGAACGCGTTTACCTGGAAAATTAATTACACTTGACTTTTGACTTTTGACTTTTGACTTGGAAAAATGGAATGTAAAGTGGGGGAAGTTGAATTTAGTGTTATGAAGATTCTAAATTCGAATCTAGTATTCTTGGTTTGTGATTGGTGGCTGAATGGATAAAGTAAAATCTTTTTTTTTCTTTTGTTAAAACAGAAGATAAGATTCATTAAAATCCGACGTCAAGTAACCAATCCGATGATCGGAGGCTAACATAGACAAAATTTAACATACTGATCATTCTGATTCGTGTTTATTTAGCAGATTGGAAAAAGTTAAAACTGATTTTTGGTAGGAGTTTATGCTTTAGTGGGTTGTTTATGCTGTGATAGTTCTAGACGAAAATAAATTGTAAAATAAGG